CTATAGGAAACACGTAATAAATGTTCACCAGTGTTGGATAAAGACAATAATGAAAGAAATTATAATTGTGCTTGATATTTGCAGATTCCTACATGGTCACGTGGTCATTTCAAAAACTCAGCTGGATATCAAGATGTAGGCAAAGTGGTAATAGAGGGAAAGTACTGAAATGGACAAAATATTAGAGCCAGGAAAAGCAAGGTCTTTGACTTAAATGAACAGTGCTTAAGACACCTCCATAATTGAATAATCAGTGAAATTTAGTGCTTTTGTTGTATGTAACATAAATTAAATGGAAAACTGGAATATGTTGACCTGTTGGGAAAGATTTTGGTATATTAATATGACAAATAAAAGCAAGAAGGTTAATGATCTGATTTGGAATCTAGAACAAGATGTTTAAAAGTAAGAATTGGTCAGTATGTCTCTAACACCATTTAGGGGAGAGGGTGCCTCTTGGACCATGGGCAATGTTATCTTGTTCTATGTCACAGCTATATTCTTACATTGAAGGTGATTCATTAGAGAAAGCACAATGTAGAGGAAATAGCACTGAGTTGGTAATCAAAAGACCTGGGTATGAATAGGGACTCAAAGATCATATGATCTATGTGACCTTCAGAAACTCACCTAGGCTCTACTGATCTCAGTTTCTTCATCTGGGGAGAATAATAATTTCTTACTATGTCCCCTATACAACTGATATGAAGAATATGCTACATAAAACTTAAGTTATATGATTGTAAACTTTATAAGTACACATTAATGAAAATCATACTTGAGTATTCAACTTTCTCTGATACAACATTCCATGCATAACAAGCAACTTTTTATACATTTGGCCAATTTCATCCAAAGAAAGATGCTCTAATGGAAGAATTCCAAAACTCAAATGTTCCAGAAAGCTCAAGAGTATTTCAGCAAGGCATATGATTTATTTTAGGGGTCGAGGCTTAAGAAGGAATTATAGCCTTGATAAAAGTGGTAATGCAGGGAATGGAAAGATCTGATAAATATTATTGAAGAACAATTTGTCTCAGTGCCCCCTCCCTAGACACTTCCAAAATTATAACTACCTTGATTTTATAGTTATTTTTCATCTAACTTCAATTTAATGATCTTATATAAATTAATACAGGCTTTTTTCCACTGAACTTAATCACTATATGGAGATATAGGCTCCTGACCACAAACTCTAAAAGAAGGCAGACATTCTTTAAGGTGTTATTTATAGTACGAAGCTACTAATTCCTTATTTATCCAGCTGTAACCTCTATAACTTTGGTCATTGAAAGTTTATAGGTTGATGGATAATTCAGAGATCTACATAGATGAGGAAAAAAAACTTACTAAGTTATCTAGGGAAACATATTTACTTTGTCTTTTCCACTAATCTCTGAGACTAGAAAATAGCAGTTACTATGAGGGACAAATTTTTTCAAATTTATAATTAACTTATATGAAGCAAATTCCAGGACCAAAGTAAAACAGATTTCTCAGAGCCATGATGGAGGAGTAAAAGTAAGCACTAGCCTGAGCTGTCTCAAATTTCCCTACAAACAATATTAAAATAAAGCCTCAAAATGAATTCTGGAATGGCAGAATGAAAAAAAAAAAGAAGAAACAATTTTCACTTAGAAGTTCAGCAGGAAAAGTCTGTTGCATTGGGATGAGAGTGGAGTATAGTCCAGCAAGGTAGCCACAGGCCTTGAGGGTAATTGAATTGGCAACAGTAGGTTCTGGAGCTCTCAGGCCACAGATGGTAAGGGAATTGACAACTGGTCAGAAGGAGATTGAAGGAGACCCTTTGCTGGCACTGGGAGCACGACTCTGTTACATGGTCCACACGTGGATTTGGGTTGCAGTCCCAGGGCAAGGAGGAACACTGGCAGGAGTGGGGATCCTGGTCACAGTTCCAGAGTAGAAAAGAGTGCTTGTGGTCCACAGCATAGGCCAGGAGGGGAGTGATCACATCCTTCCTTAGATAGTACCACTTTGGAAAAACTGAAAACTTACAGACTGCCAGGGCTAGCTCTGAAAAGAACAGCATGAAAAACCTAAAGCTTGGGACAGTACCCCCTCCACCCCAGGAGCACAGCCCGACTTTAACACAAAGTTAAAAGTCAAGAAATAATCTGGGAAAATGAGCAAACAACAAAAAAAGAACTTGACCACAGAAAGTTACTATGGTGACAGGGAAACTCCGAAGACAACAAAGTCGAAACAGCTACATCCAAAGCCTCAAAAAAGAATGTGAATTGTCTCAGGACCTGGAGGAGCTTAAAAAGATTTTAAAAATCAAATAGGATAGATAGAGGGAAAAATGGGAAAAGAAATGAGAGTGACACAAGAAGATTCTTCCATAGTAGAAATAGTAATAACAACAATAATAACTGCCAGGTATATGGCATTGCAAGGTTTACTAAATGTTTTCAATACATTAGCTCTTTTGAATCTAAATGAAAATTCTGTGAGACGATTATTGTCTTTATGACAATGAAAGTCAGGTTATCAATGTGAACAAAAAGCATTTTTGGATCAGTAAGTGAAAGATATTTAATTATTTTAGCATGGAAAACTCCAGGTGTGGGAATTCCTTCCACCAATGAAGACAGCAAACTGTCTGTGACCAAGTAGATAAGTTTCAGGGAGTTGCTTAAAGCAAAGAGAGCTTGATAAGCAGGATTTGGATATTGTTCTATACTCAGGATTTGAATATTGATCTTCCTGATTCAAAGCCCAGACTTCTAGCCACGATACATCCATTCTTTGATTATTAAAATTTTGAAGTCCATTTGACCATATTTTAAACTTACCTGCAATGAACAACCATTGGTGTGGTGTCATGGGCTCGGTTGGCTCGAATTAACTTCACAAAATGAATTAATGGTGCACTATTTTCAGGAACCCCATGTTCAGGCCAAGCAGTAAAGTTACATTGTCGAACTGTCATACAGTCTCCATGCTGGCAACCATGTCAGATTAAAGAGGTTTCATAAAAGTGGTATCAGCATAATCAAAAAGAATGAAAATAGCAGATCTAAAAACATATTGCAGGTAACACTACAGAAATAACTAGCTTAGTTTTAATATAAGTCAATTCAGTATGACAGATATTTCATTTTATAAAAGATTCAACACTGATATACTAAGGAAAATTTTACTCTTAATAGAGCAAGAGATCGATAAGGATGTCTACAAATAGTTGTTTCCATTGCATTTTCATTCATATTTATTATACAGTATAATAGAATTCTGGATTTGTGTTCATAAAGTTAGGTTTAGCAAAAGCAATTTTAGGACCCAAATATAAGCAAATTATACAGATATGGCTTGAGATTATGAAGAGCCTTATACATGGATATAAATGATAAAGAGATGGATAGGGATCGGGCTTGTGATTCACTGGTATAGGGAAATCCCAGGTGAGGAAACTTCTTTTATCGATGCAGATGGGCCATTCACTGCAACTTGCTAGTATTAGAGATTTGCCTTGAATAGCGAGAGGCTAAATGATTGCTGTGGATCACAGGGTCAGCATGTGTTAGAGAGAATACAGGCCAGGATCCAACTACGCTATGCTGAACATCAATGCAGACATATACAGACATAAATATAAATATAGATGATATAGCTAGAGATGTACATTTATTTGTATATAAATAAGAATGAAAATTAAGAAATGGGAACATTCTGAAATATAGAAACCTGAATTATCTGGGTTTCTCTCTGCTGAGAATCATTATTTAACCTCAGTGGGTCCTTGTTTCCTTGTATATAAAATGAAACAGTTGGTCTCACTAGAGGATCTCTAAAAACCACTCTCTAAATCTAATACATTTTTATCCTCCTCTTTTTTTTTTCCTCCACCACTGCTTTGATATGGGGCTCTGCAATGTTTTCCTTGCTGCCATAAATGTCCCCCCTATTTTCTCTATACCTATTATACCCCGCATTGTCCTCAGCCTTGTATTGATCCCCTACAGTCACCTTCTATTTCCATTCCCTAGCCATCTTGGATCACCTAAAGGGTTTGGATATACCAAAAAACCAGGAAGTGGAAGTCAGATAGATGACTAGATATGATAGAATCCAGCAGAGTGAAATTGGCATGCTTAACCTAGTTCAATTACAGTGGTATAGATCCTACTTACTAAAATCCTCTTTAAATGCTTTTCTGTGATTGGAGATGATACTGGGTTCTAAGACTGGTCTTTCTATGGAGTGCTAGCTGTGATAAAGTTCTACCAAGGGACAAAGTCTAAGAACCAGCCTAGCTGCATTCATAAATGCTCATTGCAAAAGCAGATGGCATCAGGGAATTAAATTCAAGAATATTTATTAAGCACTTACTGTGTGCTAAAGACTATGTTAAGTCACCAAGGATATGAAGACAAAACAGAAATAGCTTTTGCCTTCAAGTTTCTATTCTATAGTGATAAATATTTTAGGCTGCAACAACTCTAGAATACTGTCCACTAAGGCACAAAGGGGTTATAATCTATGTCAATGGAAGGAGTAATCAACCCTCCAAAAAATAATATATCTTAGAAGTAAAGTATGAAATAAGCAGACCAAATAGACTACAAGTTTGTTTTTCTTTTTCTACTATAGTATGATTCTTACACTCTGTGTAACTTAGTCAAAGAATTTGGACTCTGTGACTTAAAAAAAAAAAAGTTTGCTCTGTTAACTCGTCCAACCAATATAGGTCACAACCTATCTATTACTTATAGTCTTAAAGAGTTGCTGGAGGCCCATAAAAATGCCCTGAGTCATACAGTTCTTGTAGAAAGGGATATTTAAGCCCAAGACTTCCTGACTTCAAGTTCATCACTCTGACAACTGTAATTCTGTAGCTTGGTTCTGTACAGACTGATAAGATTTCACTGTCATTTCATCTACTCCATACACATACAGAAGTGAGCATAAGGGTTTGTCGTAATCCAATCAATGGGTATTAACTCTTGCCTCAACGTTTATGCCCAGGATGTTCTTTCTCCTCATCTGCATTTCTTAGAATCCTAAGCTTGCTTCAGGGTTAAGCTCAAATATCACCTTCCACAGGAGACTTATCTGGATTCTACCAGTTGCTAATGTCCTCTCCATCAGAAATCATTTTGTATATATGGGGTATTTAATTTACTACATACAATATATGTTGGTTCCATCGATAGAAAGTAATCTCCTTGACAGTAGACCTCTTTCATTTTTGCATTTCAAGAACTTGGCATAATTCTGGAACATACTAGGAACTTAATAAATGTTTATCAAATTGAAGGTCAAATTACTAGTTATAGCTCTAGAAGTGAATTTTCTTTAAGGTTTTCCCTCCATTTCCTAACTTTAATAACTTTTTCTTTTCTTCTATTTTTACCCTTTCAATTTTCAGATCTCTGATGGTCCAATCAATTTGGATGTCTTCTAATACTTTGGTAATCACTATATCTCCAAATACAGTCACTGGCTTGTTATCTTCTGGCCAATATTGATGGCATCGGATCTGCATTCAGAAAAGATAGTAAGTCATGAAAATAAAAACTTCTTATCATGACCTCCAATTAAATCAAATGCCTTATCACCTTAAAAGCACTAAAACTAACCCCCAGAAAAACAATTCACACAAAGCAATACAATTGTAAAGCACAGTTTTATGAAATAATTTTAAAGTAACTCACTCGTCCTTTTTCAAAACACTGTGTTAGCATCACTAAAGTTTTTGCTCTGGTTTCCCAGACCATTCGCCAAAAATCTCCTACTGTTCCAGGCAATGGTCCTTGGGTAGCAATAAATTCATTTGGACATAGATAGCCCTAGAAGAAGAAGAAGAAATTAATATATACTGCATCTATATGCAGAAAGAACCCTATTTCTTTTGTTTATCAGAAGTCTTTACACAACTGCTAGAGCCTGATAATATTTTTCCAGGCTAAATAAAAATTAGATCCTAAAATTTCTCAATACAAACAATTGATGTAATAATTAGGTACAATATACTCAGTGTTTAGTGATGGACTACCAGAATGCACTTAGGAGTGGTCATCATTAAGAGGCAACAAGAATGTCTCAAAAGTAGGTCATTCCAGACTAACTTCATTGTGGAATTTCGCCAACATGATATATACCTCTATTTAAGCCAAGCATCTCATGTCCTTGTATATAAGATAGAGCAATGTGGGTTAGATCATATTATAATAGACATATCTGGAATGGGGCAAGCCACTTAATATAAAGAATAGTCATTAGTGTATCTATGTTGACCTAGAGAGAGAAATCTAGAACAGTTCTCCAGGGTGCTGTCCAATATTTTTATTAATTTGGATGAAGGCATCATAGCATAGCAGCTAGGGAACTGGTCTTGGAATCAGAAAGACCTGAGTTCATGCCCTACCTCTAACATTAAACATTGGCTGTATTACCCTGTATTAACCTCTTAGTTCTCTGAGGAACTCTTTAAGATTATAAGTTGCAGAAAAGGTGTCAACATGCATTGGTAGAGGGAATTCTCTCATCTAAGGAGCTCCCTAGAGTTTATACAAGTTTTTACATATGATAATTATTGTAATTATATTAGATATATATGCACACATACATATATGTATATATGTATACACATATACATATATACACACATATCTACATGTATACATATATACACACAAAACCACATATATTTCAGCCAATTCGAATTTTTCATATTTTCTGCAAACTTGTTATCTGATCAAACAATGGACTTTTAATTTATTTCCTGGAGTGCTCACATAGATATTTGACAGCTGTATTTCCATATAATTCATTGCCTTTGTAATTCCATATATTTTATTTTATGCACTTAAAAACATTTTTCTGAGATGGGGTCAATTGGTTTCACCTGACTTCCAAAGAGGTCCAACACACACAAAAAAAAAGGTCAAGAAGCCTTGTTATAGATGTATCAGACTTATTCTATAAAACTTTGGAAGGCAGATTAAGTGGTTGTGGATGGATATGTCAGGGAGACACATTTGGGGCTCAATACATAGGGAGGGGCTAACAATTATAACTCTTTATATAGGGAACATCTAACAATTATAACTCTTCAAAAAGTGTTATGACCTGTTGTGAGGAACCAAGAATGTGACCTTCCTGGCACTGTTTGTATGAATTTGAAGGTATGAAAAATCTTTATATATAAAATTTCCACATGTTGTTTCATATCTTCTACTGTGAGAAACAGAGGGCATTAATTTCAGTCAGGTAGGTTTTGTAAATTTCTTTGGCTAGACTACTTTTATGTATTTTGCATTACTTAAACCATTCTTTTATGGATATATCTCCATAAAATGTCCCATAGAATTCAAGAGTGTGGGAAATGTTTCTGGGAAAGCTGATGCTAGGGTTTGTGAGGGTCCATTTCATGCATCTGATAATCCTAAACATCAGCCTAGCTAGGAAATCCTGCCAAGATTGTTAGAAATTTTAGAGAGGAAACCAGTCCTCAGGACAATTTCTTCTTCAAGTGGTTCTAGAGAGTAGTATAGCTCTCTGGGAAGTTCTGGAAATCAGAAGGGTTTTGGCCAACTTCTTTCATGATTGTTTCATGAGATAATGAGGTATGGTGTAGAAGACTATTGATCAAGAATGTTGTTGTCAGGAGGGGGAAGTTTTTGAATAGATAAGAGAATGTTCCCCTCTATGTGTTGTCTTCCTCTAATAGAATGTAAATGTCTTGACAGGAGGGACTGACATGCTTGCTTCTTTGGGTATTCTCAGTGCTTATCACAGTTCTTGGTTCATAGTAAACATTTAATAAGTTATTTGTCTGTCTGTCTATCTATCCATCCCTCTATCTATCTATCCATCTATCTATGTAGGTATCCTTTAAGTTCCCTCACAAGTTAATGGAAAATGTGATTTGATACTTAAATTCTCTCTTTTCATGCATTTACATTGGGCTTTGGCTGGACAAATGATTCCCTTGATATAGGGAACTTCTACTCTTTGCTTTCCAATGACAAAGCTGCCACTGTCAGTATGGATCATCAACCCTTTTGGTGTTAGAAGCCCGGAACACTGACCAGTTAAGTGAGTTGCCCAGGGTCACACAGACAGCATCTGTCAAAGACAGGACTTGGACCCAGTTCTTACTAACCAGCTCTCTATTTGCTACATTTCTCATGTTGAATTACATCTTACAGGTAAAGCAAAGATAATCTATAGGCTCAGTAGTTAGCAAAACACAGATCCTTATTAAAAATTAAAAACAAGTCAAAAAAAGCTCACTCACTGACTTCTTTAAATCCTAGGTATTATTGTTCAGTCATTTTTCAGTTGTGTCTGACTCTTTTTGACTCCATTTGGGCAGAGATACTGGAATGATTTGTCATTTCCTTCTCCAGCTCATTTTACAGATGAGGAAACTGAGGCAAATGGGGTTAAGTGACTTGCCCAAGGTCACAGAGCTAGTAAGTACATGAGGCAAGATTTGAGCTCAGGAAGGTAAGTCTTCCTGACTCCAGTTCCAGCACTTTATCCATTGTACCATCTAGCTTCCCCAAATCCTAGGTAAATATTACTTTTTAATGACACTTAATTTTACAAACCATACAACTTTGCTACATGAAAATCAGTGGAAGTTTCCATGTAGCTGTTGCCTGAAAGAAGGTGGCATGGTAATACAGATAGTCTTAGAAATGTAACTAAAAAACAGATAACATACATATAACTTACAGATACATAGCTGGCATTGATGTAATCAGATCCTGGTACACTGGCATCTGCTATTAGTTTCACTCTGTTGTTATTATCTATAAAAAAATAAACATCAATATTGATTCTTAACTGGAAATAAGAAAGGGTGTAGCATACTCAGAACCACTGTTCAGTTACAGTAAATTGTAATTCTAAAGAGCTTTGAAAGCAACACATGCAGCTTCAAGCTTAAACATATAGTATGCATATACAGATAGTCAACCTGATATGTTTATATCGTTAAAGGAAAGGGACCATGGTGAAGTGGATCACATTCTGGATTTTGAGTGGGGAAGTCCTGGTTCAAATCCTACCTCCAATACTTATTACTTATATGACCACAGGCAAGTTATTACGCATCAGTTTCCCCATCTACAAAATGAAAATACTAAATCCTTCAGTATCTAACTCCAATATGGTTGTAAGCCTCAAAGTGCACAAAAAATTAATTCCGGCCTGTAGCATCATAAGTCTCAAAAGTAATAATGTATATAAGATGCTCTGCAAACTTAATATGCTCTATAGATGTCCACAATTATCATGATAGAGAAAGGTTCCACTTGATTGAGAAAGGACTTTTTTGGATTCCTGCATAATAAAAACATTTTAATGGATTTCTGTTTAATACTATTATTACTGAAGAGAGCATATTAAGTGTCTGGAAACCAAGAAATTAAACCTTCATTTTTTTGGAAAGCTTTCACAAAGCTTACTTTATCTGATAATATGAAGGCTTAGATATCTACTCTATAATCATTTGCTAGTAAGTTTAGTATTTTGAAGCTTGTGAGCTTGAAATCCTGCTTCCAATCCTATGGAAAAATATCATGCATTTATAAGGGCAAAAGCTTATGGTTCAGTCTCTCAAAGTAATGATGTATACTACATACATTCCACCTTGATCTAAAACTTTCAGATGATTTGGGAACATCATTTCTGAAGGGGTGATATTTCCTAGGGGTTCATTCATAATTAATGTCAGTACTCTCCTCATATTGCATAGAAATTGGGAATCAAAGATCCACATGGAAAATTACTCCATTAAATAATATGTTTGGGGTCAGTTTGGGAGGAAAGAAGTAGTGGTAATTGGTGGCAATATAACATTTTAGAAGGCATAGGAATTTTTATTAGTACTTGAGGGAAGGATAAATTTAGTGAGTCTGTCATGTATAGTTTGATGCCCTAAGGAGATATGTAAATGTAATCAAATGAAGAAGAGAGAACATTTGGGAAACCCACTTTCGGAACCTTGGGACTAATCCTACAGGGTGAATAAACAACTTCAAAGTTGAAGGTCAGGAACTTCAGAAGAAAACTTTGCTGTTTTCATTTAAATGGGCACTTACATTGTTTTCATTTCATAAATAAGATCATAGGATCACACAGAATTAGAAAGGAAATTAGATATTGTTATAATAAAAATAATAATAATAGTAGGATAGACCTTGGACCTAGGATTTCTATCAATACGGATCAGCACCTTCTTAGAAACATTGTCTTAGAGAGTTGCTTAGAACACTATAAAATTAAGTAACTTCCTTAGGGACACTGCTAATATTATATGTGAAAGGGTGGATGTAAATTCTGACTATCACATCTCTAAGGTTGGCTCTCTAGATACCATGCTATCCAGACTTTTCAGAATAAATGGCAAAAAAAAAAAAATGAGTGGAACTTCAGCAGTGTCTGGGTTACTTCGGATAAGTGGCTTAATCTCTTAGCCTGCCAGAGTTAAACTTACTTCCATGAACTAATTTGTTATGTTGAAATACAGAACCTGATTCTCCAATTCCATGGACTGGCATTTCAGCTCAGGAGGCTTTATATATTTCACTAGCTACTTATGCACAAATGTTAGATTAGCCTCTAAGAAGAAAGGCTTCATCTGACTGCCAAAAGGGTCTCTCTCCCTCTCCCTCCCCCCCCACTTCTCTCTCTCTCTCTCTCTGTCTCTCTCTGTCTCTCTCTCTCTCTCTCTGTCACACACACACACACACACACACACACTCACTCATACACACAAAGGTCAAAATCCCTAGTCCATGTCAATAAGGAGAATTAAATGTGATAATGGTCAAGTATTTCAGAAAGGAAAAAGTACAATCACAAGTCAGAAGGAATGTTTTACCTTCCTTAGAAAATTGGAACAGAAAAGAATGACACAGAGAAGGCAGAGAAGAAAGACCAATGAATAATTAGCATTTAAGCAATAAATATGAGAGTCTTCATGTAGAAGGCTGTCAGGAGCATTTCAGAAGATGTTCCTCGAGTGAGTAGATGATTCAGATCAACAAAAGTCACAGGTTAAGAGATCATTCAGTAATGGGCAGAGGAAGGGGGAAATGAATGACAGTAACTCCATGACATACTGGGGAAACTATTTGTGAATCTGACACAGTTGAGAAGGCATAAGTCTTCTGACTTCCCTGAGCATATATTCAGACCAAGACAGAGGGCCTAGGAAGACCTGTCAAACCCAAAGAACAATACTGTACTCAGTCTTAGTGATTTATTTTGGAAGGAATGATACCATGAGCATGGATATAGAAAGTTTTGCTAAGAATTTTGAAAATATACCAAAAAACCCAAACAAACCTGAAGACCTTAGGGGGCATAAGTAGAATGTTCATCATTTCCACTGATTGATCTAGTAATAATAATAATAACAACAACAATAACTACAATTTATATTGTGTTTTAAGGTTTTCAATGCTTTATAAATGTTATCTCATTTTAACCTCACAACAATCCTGGGATATAGGTGCTTTTTTATTCCCATTTTACAACTGAGTCACAGAGAGATTAACTGACTTCTGGGTTTGAACTTAGGTTTTCCTGACTCCAGATTCAGCCCTTTAACCATTGTACCACCTAGCTGAGTGGTAGGGCACTCAGAACAGAAAGGTGGATTTGAAGAATGAACATTTGGCAAAAATGATCAAATCTAAGGATAGGATTTATATTTTTGAAAGGTGGTTTAAAATATAAGAAGGATGGATTCTTGATCATGGATGGAGTTCATATAATAAGGGCCTGTTAAAATAAATAAACAAACAAACTTAATTACTTTGAATCTGACAAATGTGATTAAGAAACCTTTAAACAGAAACTTGCTGAATGACTGAAATCAAGGCATAGTTATTAATGTGTCAATATCACTTTGTCTCTAGTGGTATGCTTTTTGCCCTCTGCTGCTTAACATTGTCATCAACACCTTGGATGAAGTTAAGTGTCATTTTAGATGACAGTAAATTCTGAAGGATCATATATTTGGAGCTGGAAGGGATCTTAAAGATCATTTGGTTCAAGCCCTTCATTTTACAGATCAAAAAAGAAAGGCTCAAAAGTCAAGTGACCTACTCAGAATCATACAGGTAGTAAGTGGAAGAGCCAGAATCTGAACACAGGTCTGATTCCAAAATCTTTCCATTGAACCACATTGCCTCTAGCAGTAAATAATGCAGAGAAATCTTAAGGAATCATGGAGGGGAGCTGAAGGAATGCATGCTTGATGTTAAACTCAGTGAAGTAGGAGGTTAAGTCATTAACTATATAAGCGATGACTGGTGGTGCGGGCTTAGTTGGAGGACTTAGTGACATTGTGAAAATATCACCAGGCTCTAAGTAATAGGACATAGGTATGATTTCTGGCTATATAACATTGGGTAATTCACTTTATCTTGTTAAGTTTCATATTTCTCATATGTAAAATAATATTTGCACTTCCTTGCTTATCTGGATAGTGGGATTTATGGAAATAAAAGACTTTAGAGATTATTTAGTATAATCCTTTCATTTAATAGATGAGTAAAGTGAGATACAGAAAGGTAAGTGATTTGCTAAGGTCAATGAGTAATTGATTTGGGATTCAAACTCAGGCCTTTCGATTCTAAGTTTAGCACTCTTTCCACTAAGTTGCCCTTTGGATGGATGAAATGAGAAAGGGATGGGAACCAGATCTGTGATTCCCTTGGAATAAGGAACTCTCAAGTGAGGAAACCACATTTACTAGTGCAGGTTAGCACTTTATCTGCAACCTACATATAGTCTTAGAGAATTTTCTAGAACACTAATATGTCAAGTGACTTGTCCAAAATGATAGCCAGCATATGTCAGAGTCAGAATTTTAAGCTGTCAGAATCAGATCCTTCTGATTTTGAAACTAGCTCTTCATTTATTATATTATACTTTTTCTCATGAAAGGAGGTAACATGTAATTCACTTTGCAAACCATGCAGTGCTACATAAATATAAACTCACTATTGTAATGGGGGAAGGGAGTTAATCAGGGGAATAACCCTGCAGTCAAATGATATGTATAAATATTTCCCTTGGAAAATGGGTGAACCCACAGGTACCTTATTGAGAGGATAGCGGAAGGCTTCTGTTGGATTTCAGTGACTAAGACTGCCCCTAAAATTATTAACTGGGGGATAGAGGGGCACAGCCAAGATGGTGGAGAGAAGCCAAGAAGTTGCCTGAGCTCTCACCAGTTTTCCTTGGAAATAACACTAAATCAAGGCTCTAACCAGATTCTGGAATGACAAAACACACAAAAAGATGGAGTGAAACAATTTTCAACCTTAAGATACCTTAGAAGGTCTTCAGGAAAGGTCTGTCTCACTTGGGTGCCCAGCACAGATGGTGTCCAGGTAAGATAGTGGGAGGCTCTTAGCCACAGCACAGATCAGCATAGATCAGCAACTGAGGCCCCTGGGTCCTGGCTCAGCAGGCCAATAGTGAGGCCTCCAGTCCCAGTGCAGAAGGCAAATGGGGAGCCCCAGAACCCCAGCACAACAGGTTCAAGTAAGCTGGGTCACCCTCAGTGCAATGGACAAGCAGCAAGCACCTGAGGCTCTAGTGTAGAAAGCCAGTGAGCAGGCATACCCACAGTATAAGATAGTGCTCCCTGTTCCCCAGGAGCACAGCTCAACTTTAAAAGTCATGAAATAGGCTAAAATGAGTAAGAAACAGAAAAAGAGCCCTGACCATAGAAAGCTACTACGGTGACAGGGAAGATCAAAACACAAACTCAGAAGAGGACAAAGTCAAA